ACCAGTTTAACGTTGAATATTATTTATGATTTTAACTTTATACACTAGTGCCAAAATACTATAAATAATGAATTTATTATTTTAATTAAAAGTAATTTTAGCAAAGCTACTCGGGAAAACAGACGCTTTGTATATGGTGAGTTATAAATTACACGAGTTAAGTCTTTTCGTGATCAAAAGAATATAAAGCAGGTTGTCAGAAACGGTATGAGTCCAATCATTTATTAGTCAAAAGATTGGAAATCAAATTCTTCCTTGTTCAAAAGTAGTACAAATCAAGTCATATTGTGAACATTATTGCTATAAATGAAAACACAAAGGATGTAATATTCTTTTGGGTGTTTAGGACAGATCTTTAGCTTTATTTAAAACCGTAACTGATTTTTAATTCTTTGTTGACATTTTGATGAAAATTATTGAATATTTTCTATAACATAATTTACACGAGGCTTTGTGATTTGTAAAATTTTTCATTGTGGTTCAGCAGCCTATAACTTTTTTATCCTTAGGCATTCTAAGGTTTAATGTAACACGTCTATAGATAGATATATAAAAATATTATACTATATGTTTAGACTGATAAAAAAATTATTGGAGTTTTGTTATTTTCTTTACAAAAAATCATGTCTTCAACTCTCAGAGCGAACTATGTACATTTATATAATATATATATATATACACAAATGAAAATATATTTCAAAATATTTTAAAATTGTTTCTTACTGTTAATTTAAAACAAATAAATAGTAATAACGAGTTTTTTAAAAATATTTTTCAAGATATTTCATATTGTTTCATTTTTATTAGTCACTCCCCTAATTAAACGTAAGAGAGAACTATTAACAAATCCTGAAAGAGAGGATGTGACAGGTGAGCGTGGCAGGAGGAGTTTGATTTTCTATTTGATAACTCTGTAATTAAACAAAATTAAAGGCAATAAAATTTATGGTTTGTCTGAGCAATGACGACTTTATAGTGAGTAACTTAACGTTTAATTTCGTAATTATTGTAGGGGTGGTGGATAAAATAAAGAAGAGAAGATACCTAGAGAAAATGTGTCACACTAGGGGAAATTCAGGATTTTTTTAATATTGCCTTGTAGAATTAAAAACTTAAAACTTATATAATATTAAAATTTGGATTATTAGCTAGGATTGTATGCTATACTAATTAGTATAATATAAACAAAAAAGTAGTTGAATAAAATTTTGAATGTAAGACACTAAAACCTTGTGTCATGTACAGTAAAGGATACCCGTGACGATAGGGTTAAAATGTATTCAATTCTTTGTTCTTCGTATACATATATATATATGAAGTTTCAAAACTATTTATGCATTCGTATTTATTTGATAGGTTTTGAAAATTTCCGAGAAAGAGTTTTTGGAGGGTATGGGTGTTTTCTTTGTCTCGTTTGTGGGTCAGTATGGGTATGACCGTGTTTTGTCTGTACTGGGACGTCACATGCGAGACTTCCTAAATGGTCTGGACAACCTACACGAATATCTGAAGTTTAGCTACTCTCGCATGAAGGCGCCATCTTTCTTCTGTGAAAATGAATCTGCAACCGGGTTGACACTACACTATCGAACCAATCGGCGTGGTTTTTTATGGTACACCGTTGGCCAGATAAAGGAAGTAGGTCGCCATTTTTACAAAACTGATGTCCAGATTGATGTAATCAAGGAGGAGACAGTTATGAACACACTTCACATCAACATGAAGCTGACATTCGACAACTCGGCTTTTAAGCTAGAGGAAAAACATGAAACCGCCAAGATTGATAGAGCAATGATGCCGATCCAGGCTTACTTGTTTCTTGATATATTTCCATTCTGTGTTGTGTTTGATGAGAAATTTGTGATTAAAACTATAGGAAACAGTCTGCAAAATGTGTTACCAAAATGTGTGGGAAAAAAATTACTGGACATTTTTGACATCAGTAGACCCATTATCAGTGATTTCACCTGGCGGACTGTAAGTAACACCTTACTGTTAACTGTATTATAATTATCATCTTACTGTTGAATTTACCATAGAAATGTTAGTACCACCTTACTGTTGGATTTAGTAGATGACTGTAAGCACCACACTATTGTTGTAGTTATAAGAGGTCTGTAAGTACCACTTTACATTTACGTTTACTTGAGGACATTTAACATTACCTTACAGTTGGATTCATTAGAGGACTGCTAATACCACCTTACAGTTAGATTTACTAAAGAAGTACAAGCTCCCCAGTAATGTTTGATGTACTAGAGAATGAAAAGTACCATCTTACTGATGCATATACTAGCGGACTGGTAGTACCACCTTATTGTTGGATGTACTACAAGAATGTAAATACTACCCTATTGTTGGATTTACTAAAAACTGTAAGTAACATTTCACTGTTGGTTGTATTAGAGGATTATATGTTCCGCATTATTAGAGCACTCTAAATGCCACCATGTTGGTTTCACTAGCAAACTGTTATTCCACATTAACTTTAAAATTACTAGAGGGCTATAAGTGTCATCCTATTATTTTATTTACTAGAGGACTACAAGTCACCTTACTGTCAGAGTAAGTAGAGGACAGTAAGTTCCATCCTCTTGTTAGTTGTATAAGAATATTATAAGTGCCCCTTGCTGGTGGACTTCTTAGTAGAATACAGTCATTATCATCTTGTTGTTGGAGTTCCTAGAAAACTATTAGTACCTTACTGCTTGACATACCAAAAGTACTAAAAGTATTCACCTACTCTTGATTTACAAGAGGACTGAAACCATTATCTAACAGTTAAGTTTACTAGAATTCCGCAAGTGTTACGTTTTATGTTGGATTCACTAGAGAAGTGTAAGCAGTACCAAACAGTTTGATTTACTAGAAGGCTATTTGTACCTCATTAATGTTAGATTTACTAGAAAACTAGAATTACCTACCTTACTGTTGGATTTACGAGAGAATTCTAAGTGTCACCTTACAGTTGGATTTAATAGAAGTCTTTAAATGTCGCCTTACTGTTGAATTTACAACAGAGTAATGTAGTATCACAACACGGTTGCATTTGCTAGAAAATTGTGAGCCCAATTTTACTAATAGATTTATTAAAAGACTGTCTGTGTCATTACACTGTTGGATTTAATAGAAAACTTTAAGTACGAGATAACTGTCAATTGTACTAGAGGATTATAAATGCTCCTTCCTTTTGGATTTACAAGAAGACTATATGTACTATCTTACTGTTTGGATTATTCGAGGATTGTACCAACATATTATTGGATTTCTTAGAGAATTGTAGGTGCGATCTTAATGTTGGATTTACTATAGAGGACTGTTGCCACCTTACCTTTCTATAGACTAGAGAACTGTCAATATTAACTTATATTTGGATTTACTAGACGATTGTAAGTACATTACTCCTCGATTTATTAAAGAACTGTATGTACCATCTTATTGTTGGATTAGCTAGAAAACTATAAATATCACCTTACTAGAGGATTATAAATGCCTATTTACTCTTGAATTTAGAAGACGACTATATGTAATAACTTATTATTGGAGTTAATAGAAGACAGTAAGTGTCACCGTACTGTAGTTTGAATTAGCTTTACTGTAAAAATGTAAATGCCATCTTGTTGTATTTTAATGTTAGGTCGCTTTTCATTTAAATTTATTGAGCGTTTGTACCAATTACGTACTTGTATATTTACTAAAGGACTGCAGAAGCCACCATCCCTTTGTATTTACTAGATAACTATAAATGACACCTTACTGTTGTATTTACTAGAGAACTATAAATGACACCTTACTGTTGTATTTACTAGAGAACTATAAATGACACCTTACTGTTGTATTTACTAGAGAACTATAAATGACACCTTACTGTTGTATTTACTAGAGAACTATAAATGACACCTTACTGTTGTATTTACTAGAGAACTATAAATGACACCTTACTGTTGTATTTACTAGAGAACTGTAAATGACACCTTACTGTTGTATTTATTAGAGAACTATAAATGACACCTTAATATTGTATTTACTAG